AACAAAAAGAACATGAATGCAATAAAAATAATTAAATTAAAATCGGATAAAAAAAACATGAATGCAATAAGAAAAATAATTAAATTGAACTAGAACAAAAGAAACATGAATGCAATAAGTAATAATAAATACTTTGAAATAGAACAAAAGAAACATAAATGCAATAAAAATAATAATAATCAAATTAAAATAGAACAAAAGAAACATGAATGTAATATAGGACTTCTTCAGGTGATAACATGAATGCATTTTTGACGGAGCTTCTCTCCAAACAATTGTTTAACAAAATAAAAATGTTTTTCTTACTCAAAAGTGAAATTTGTAAAAATTACAGGAAGTATTGAAGAAATAAAATTCACATTTTATACGTGAAAATCAAAACTATTTATAAATCAAAAATAAACTAATTATACAGGTAAGACTCTCAAAAATATTTTACTAAGTTGACGATTAAAGAAAAGTAGTTTCTTCATTTTAGTAAGTGAATTTTTTATAAAAAACAAAATTTCACTTTAATTGGACTAATTGGTTTTTAATAATCAATGGTTATCATTATAACAATTCTCAATTAGAGTGAATTGGTGAGAAAAACATCAATCATATTTTGGATAACTGATACTTAATAATGAACAAAGTATACAGGTAAAAATCTCAGAAATATATTACTAAGCTGGGGGATCAAAGAAAAACAAAATTTTCTTTAATTAATAAACAAATTTTTTATGAAGCACAAAATTTAACTTTAACCGGGGATTATTTAGTTTTTAATAATAGATGGTTATTATTATAGCAAAACCCAAATAGAGTATATTGAACAAAAAAATAACATCAATCATATTTTGGCTAATTATTAATGTGCATCAATGTTTCCCAAAGTGTGGTACGCGTACCTCCAGGCTATTTTTTGCAGAGTTATTTTTTGCAACGATAAGTGGTGTCAATAGCCTGGCAGTTGTGATTTTTAACTTTTGTATAATTTTTTATAATAAAAAGTACATTCATTTTTTTTTATTAGTGGAACACAGCGTTACGAAAAACTTTGAAAGAATATACGAAAGTCATAAATTTGGGAAAAACTAATTGTGGTTAATACTAATTTATGGTTTGAAAGTAACACATGCCTTTCCAATCTGATTATTTGCGACTATAGGCATTATTTTGTTGTCACTGTTATTTTTAAATCCATAACAGTACAAAAATCTAAAGCTAGCATTGTATTTCTGAATTTGTATTAGTGTTGGCGGAGCTGGAATCTTGAAGAATTCCTCGTGGGACCTGGGGCTCCCTTTGAAGTTGGACTGCTGAAAAACTGATCTGTCTACCAAGAGCTGAGAATTTTGCACGGGGCCGTAAAACGATTCTTATTATTATTGTGTTTAAAATTATGCAAATAAAAGGAAAATTATAGCATATATTCCGTTTAGCACAGCATTCTTCCGAAAAAAACGTATAAGCTTCATGGAGTCAGCGACGAGGAGAAAAAATTAAATCAAATTGATATCAGTTTATAATTATGCTTTAATATCAAATTAAAATTAAATTATTTTTAAATATCAAGTTATAATAAGGATTTAATCGGAAATTATAATTATGATTTAATATCAAATTATAATTATTAGTTAATATCATATTTTAATCATTAGTTGTTAGTATCAAAATGCAATGAATAATAATGAAATTTTCGGCAAAAATAAACTGATCAAAAAATTATTGTAAATTTCTTAAGTAATTGAATTTAAATAAACAACATTTTGAATTTTTATCCCTCTAAATATAAATCTTTTTACGATGACAAGGGGCTGGTGGGAACGAAAACACAATGAACACCATGTTTTCTAATATTTCAATGGAAACAGCTTTCATTGTAATTTTTAAAATGATCCGAACCTCTTGAGGGTTTGATACTAATATCAATTCACCTTTAGAATAGTTTTTAAAACCATTTTAACTAATTGACGTTATTTCCTTTAACTATCGATTAAACCGAAGTGTTAAAGTAGTTTAATTGAATCAGTAATAGCCATTTGTCAGCAAGTAACCCTTTTATTATATGATACATCCTTAAAAAAAATATGCTTCGAAATTTATGGACCGAAAAAAAATCTGAAATAACACGGGCGAGAAAATTTTTGTATACGAATATTCCATTCCTTTTAGACCGAGTAAAAAAAATACATCAATCGATTTTTAAAGAAAAAAAAGTAAGTAGACTTGAATTGGTCTAAAAGTTTTCACTTCGATAATTCCTTAATGAAAGTGTTACGATTTCAATTTCGAGTGAAATGAGAAAACTCAGTTGTGGTTTTTTTTTTATGCGCATAAACACTCGCGATTACTTTTACAATCATTCAATTTTATGGATGAACTCAATCTTACTCACATCGTTAGATAACAGTTTCAGAAAAGAACCAAAACAAAATCTAAGGGGAAAAAAATGTTTTCTTTAGTGTAGAGAAGGGATAACATGATCAAAACTTGCAGAATATGGTAAAATTTACCAGGACTTTGGCTCTATGGGAACACCAAAAAATACAGTAGTTTTTACAGAAGCACTTGAGTAATGAGTTTGGTAAAATTAGCGATAAAACGTTGCTGTATAATATAAAAATTTAGAAAATATGGTAAAATTTGGTAATTTTTTATAATTCCTTTAAAACATGGCAAATCAAAACTATATTTTATGTTAAATATGTCTTTTAATTTTTCGTGTTTTCTAAGTTATCATATGAACGCAAACCATTACCATATGAGTGGTTTATATACCGTATAATTTAGTTTTGCTAACAGAAATATCTTTACCATTCAAAACGGTATTTTTTCCAAAATTTCTTTTTCTGTGTAGAATAAAAGGCTGAGTGGTAGTGGCCTCCGTGGCACAGGTCCTGGGTTCGATCCTCGAGCCGGGCGAGGTTGGTTCAGCTTTTCATCCTTTCAGTGGGTCGATAAATGAGTACCAAGCATGCTTGGGAACTAAACACTGAGGTTTCCGCGTTCGGCTGACCACCTGCCTGGAACATCTGCTCCAGCACCCCAGAGCATAAGGTCAAGAAAACTGAGATGGGCACAGTAGGCCTAGGCCCTCTATGGGCTGTCGTGAAACTGAGTTAAGTTTAGTAGAATGAAACATTCCGTACTTATGTGGTTAAGCCATGGCTTAATCCATGGTTTAACCACATAAAAATGTGATACTTTATTCATGGTTATAAGAATGGACTATACCATTTCGCAATGATTTATACTATTTTCATTTCGATTTTTTTTTCCAAAAAAATAAATAAATAAAAATCTAATGAAAAAGTGGTATTTGTCACACATTAGTCTCAGAACAGGGGCAAATATAACAAATAACTTTTGATCTAATAATCTCATTTTCTCAAACTAAAATGGCTATATAGAATCTCAACGATTCTTGGGAGTAACCTTTAATGTGTTGAAATATTTGGTGCTGATTATATTTTAGGTCATGAAATAGGACACAAAAACGAAATCTTTTTTCTCTTCTTTTAAGATTTTTTATTTCTGACCTTAATTAGGCCCATAGTCACTATCTGGAAAATATGTACTATTAAATATTAGGAAACAAAAAAAATTCATTTATCCAAAGATAATTCAATGTAAAAAAATTTCTATTTTATTTATTATACTTTGTGTTTATTATTTTAATTATCTGTTATATTTATTATTTTAATTATTTGTTATATTTATTATTTTAATTATTTGTTACATTTATTATTTATTACTTTAATTATTTGTTATATTTATTATTTCAATTATTTGTTATATTTATTATTTTTTAGTAAGTATGAAAATATTTTAAATAAGATATACAAATTTCCGCATCATTTTTAATTAAGTAACTTAAAATCAGAAATATCCAATTTTAAACAAACTTCGTCACATATTTCTTGAAAAAAATTTATTTGCATTTGAATAAAAGTTTAAATATTTATCATCAGTGTCTTACTTAAATTAAAAGACAATGTTTAATTGTGTAAAGCATTTAGTACAATTTATAAAATTTATGTAACTCCAGATTTATTTTTAATTTAAAACCTTTTAAAACGTTGAGTTTATCTGTAAAAGTGTTTTTAAACTTTGCAATATCTTTTTTTAATTATTTTTTTTAACTTTCCTTCATTGGGAAATGTTTTAAATAAAAAACGAAAATTCGAGTGTTTGTAATTTCTTTCAATCTAAACAACTGATGTTAAAAAAGTTTTTTGCATGTCCATTTCTGCGATAATATTTTAAATAAATACCGATGTTATGCCTTTTTTTCCCCTTAACCAGTTTGTGTATTTTATGAAGAAAAAAATGATAACACCATAATAGAAAATATTACTCTCCGTAAACATTTTGAATTCAAATGCCTAGGGCATTTTTGAATTTAAAAATGATTTAGTTTATTTGTTTTGTTTCTTTTTAATCATTTTACTGACATTTTAAAAAATAACCGCTAAACATATCGTTAAAATAATTATACAATAGAATAAGTCCAAATTTTTATTATTGTTGAAAATAATAAATCCTTTTTATCAATAAATTTATTTAATAGCAAAATATTTTAAATTTAAAAAAAAGCCTTTCAGAAACAGTGATTAAAAATAATTTAATCGTCACAAGATTGAGACTTATTTACGATAGTATTTGAAGATCAAGACATTATCTCCAAAAATTATCACAATTCCAACAAAATATAGTTAAAGGAAATGATTTTATCAAAAAATCAAATATTTATTAGCATTTTTGTAATAATGTTTTAATAAATGATTGTTTAATAAATAAATCCATTTCACGATGCATTGAAAACATAAACCAGACAAATAAAAAAAATAACAAAAATAAATAATATGCATAGTCCGATTAAACAAAAACTTAAGAAGCATTCCGATATAAGAACAATAAATATTGGTCACCTAAGCATGACACAAAATTCATGACTTTCAGTTTTCATTTGAATTTTCTTAAATATACATATTTTTTAATTTCCATATTATTCCCTAAATAGACATCGTTTGACAGGTTAAGCTTTAAAGCTCAGTGCATCCGGAAAAGAATATGACATGCTTGAGGAAGAGAATAGTTGTAGGACGAACCTAAATCCAAACGAAAATTGAGGCATTTCGGTTGCTTTGACTTGGAAATCACGGCCCATAAAGCGTGCCTACTGACTCCCTCTACGGCTCATTCCCTTCTCATCCCTAGGCACAGATACAGTTACGGCTTAACTGCCTTCATTTAGAACAAGATTCTTAGTGATCAAAACCCAACCAGACATGGATGTAGTTTAACGATGATAATATTGGGAATCGTTTGTGTTTAATTTTCGTTGAGTTTTGTTATCGTCTGCAAAAGGATTGTAAAGTTTAGTTGACTTAAGTTTAAGGTAAGCTTTTTTTTTCTTTCTCTTTCTCTTTTTTTTAAAAATAGTTTTTGATTTTTGTTTTTAAAGTGCGTCATAAATATGTGTAACTTCTCTTCAATCTTTTTTTTTAACGCGCTTATGTTTAACTTTTGGTTAGTTTTGTTATCGTCTGAAACAATATTGAATAGATCAGCTGCTTTGAGTATTTTTTATTTTTAACTTTTTGATTTTTCCATCAAACAATAAAGCAAAAATTTATGAAATAAAATAGATAATTCTGAGAAGTTGTAGGTAAGTGCATAATTACTTTCTTTTCTCATACAAATACTCCATTAAAAGTTTTTTTATTTAACTAATATATGTTATGCAAAATTAATTTGATTTTATGTTGTACTCTTCAAAAATAATTTAATTGTTTTCAAAATATGACGGATGAAAAAATCATATTTAAATAAAAACCAGATATTTGAAATATTTAATCTTTCTTACACATAGTAAAAAGGAAACAGCATTGATTTTAAGGCATTTTTTTATCTTTACGCTAAGTTTTATTTTAAATTCTGATTGAAATTTTAACTAAAGAAAATAAACATAACTGAAGACAAAGTATTTAACTTTGAATACTTTAAGAGTTATGTAAATTTATAAAGAGATATTTATTTGAAATAATAAAAGAAATTTTCAAAAAAATTTAACAAGAAATTTTTTATTTTGTTTATTGTTAATATTCATTGATTTTTGATAATTTCTTTCGTGAATTAGTTTCTCTTTTAAAATTTTAATATGAGAATACTTTTGGCCACTCAAATATAAATCTCTTGTACCAACAAAATGTACTTTTTTGACAAAATGACTTACCGCAGTAATTTTTATTGTTAATAACATATTTTTAATTGACAAAATTTTAAAATTTCATTACAACTTAAAGAGTTTTCTAAACAAAATTAACAGATTAGCAGAATTAGCAGATTAACAGAATTAACAGAATTAACAGATTAACAGAATTAACAGATTAACAGAACTAACAGATTAACAGAATTAACAGATAGACAGAAATTCTTGGATAAAGTAAAAAGATTCTTTTAAACAAATAATTATTTAATACTTTTCAAGAAAATCAGAAATTACTATTTCATTCTTACAATTGAAGACCTGGGGGTGTAAAAAGGGGTAATACATATATTTGTTACCTAGATATAAACAGATTCATACTTTTATAAAGGCCTATTTACTATTCCATAGTTCAAATTGTAAAATTTATTGCTAGATATTTTTTGAGCAGAATTAATGCTTTTGTTGGGTTTAATTATTTTCCGAAGAAAAGTGAAAATAAATTAAATGAGTCTAATCACTTATTATTCCCGGAGGTCTGTAATTCATAGCATAAATGCATTATCTTTGTTGTATGTTTTTCCATTATCTTTGTTGTATGTTATTTAATGCCATTTTAAACCCTTCTAGTAAATTTACATTTTCTTTATTTAAGTTTTTCTTCGTTTTTAAATTTCAATTTTAGGAGAAACAATCATTAATAAGTTTTCACAATTGGTAAATAAACAGAAAATTTATTTACTATATTTGTTAGCATCATTAATAACTTTTACAATTCAAAAACATCAAATAAACATTAACATTAAAATTATTTACAATATTTGGAAAAGTCATTCACAACTATTTTTTTTTAATTTAAAAGCGTTAAATGAATATTAGCACTAAAATATTATATACTAATTTGGAAAAGCCTTATATAGCTTTTAAATATCTTGAGCGTTAAATAAATATTAACATTAAAATTATTTACTATATTTGTTGGAGTCATAAGTAACTTTCATAATTCACGCGCATTAAAAAAACATTGAAATTATTTATTATATTTGCTGGAGTCATAATTAACTTTCATAATTCACGCACATTAAAAAAACATTGAAATTATTTATTATATTTGCTGGAGTCATAATTAACTTTCATAATTCACGCGCATTAAAAAAACATTGAAATTATTTATTATATTTGCTGGAGTCATAATTAACTTTCATAATTCACGCGCATTAAAAAAACATTGAAATTATTTATTATATTTGCTGGAGTCATAATTAACTTTCATAATTCACGCGCATTAAAAAAACATTGAAATTATTTATTATATTTGCTGGAGTCATAATTAACTTTCATAATTCACGCGCATTAAAAAAACATTGAAATTATTTATTATATTTGCTGGAGTCATAATTAACTTTCATAATTCACGC